TGCCTTTCACAGCATTTCTGAAGCACAGTACTAGATAAAAGAATTGCAGTCAGGGCCTGCCACACTCAAGGACAAGCTCTCTGTGGCTTCCTTGATTGGCTAACTGACTTAGGACCATTTCCTCCTGGCACCAACACAACAGAACATAAGCAGCAGATGTTCCACAAAAGAACCAAGCACCTTTTACAGAATACTCAACTGAGGATAAAACAAGGTAGATTATTATTTCATCCTTATCACTAGAGTCCAAGTTAACACTGACTTGTTGACTGATTCCATGGTAAATGACCAACCACTCACCCTGCCAGAAACATCCAAGGGTTAGTTCAGAAGTATATTGAAGAGGTGCCAACCAAGCAGTGTTCAAGGTCATGATCTGACCTCAGAATGATCACGTGGGCTGAAAATGGGCAAACAGGATGATGCGTGGCTGGCTGTGCTGCTCTCGTGGGAAGAAAAAGACATAAACTCTGCAAATTTGAAGATAAGCTTAAACGTGTACCAGACCTGTAATTCCAAAGTGACCACTGAATTTCTATTATTTTCTTCCATCAAACAACAGGGAGGACCTCACATATCAAGTAACATGTCTGGACACAATATGAGCATGACAGGAGGGTGTTCCCTGTAACCATTCTGAGGTGCAGCATTGTTTAGACACATGATGATCTAGCCTGGACTACATCCCTGCTATGTGCATGTGGGCCGTTGCTAAAGATTGAAAAGTAAAAATATTGAAAGAACAGTTTACTTTAAAAAATAAAAAATAGTCTTTAGGAAAACAATGATGACCCTGACATTCAAAACTCTTTGAGGTTGAAAAACCAGCTGTCCCAGTCTCACAAGTGGAGAAACAAGTGGAGGCTTGGAGATGTTAACATCAAATACCCATATCCTCATAAAAATTAAATCGCAGAGCCAAGAAATTTAGCCTGGCTCCTCCTCTCTCCAAAATCTGCATGTTCTTGTCTTGCTAAATCCAGTCCTAATTTTCTTCTCCTCTTCCTCTCTGCCTTAGGGTGAATGTACCAAGACCCAGTTGCCAAATCTTCAATGAGCATTTCATGTCCAAATACCAGATTGGTGCATTCCCCTGCAGACTGGCTATCTCCACCTGCATAGCTCTCCAAGACCTCAAGTTCAATGTTTCCAAAATGTTGAATTTATCTTCTCATTCCTCCCTAGCTTCTAAAAACCAGCTCCTTCTTGAGAATTCTGTTTTTGTGTTTTGTTTTTCAGTGGCATGGCTCTGCTCTCTGTGCTAGAACAAGCTCTCTGGGAATTCCCCCTCACTGTCTTTCTCATCCAATCCCTGCTCAGACTCCAGTGTCACCCAAATTCTCCCCACTGTGTCCCCTAGTGCTGCAGCTCTAGTTGTCCCTTTTACCTCTCCTTTCCCATTGGTTTTCTGAATATTTTCCATCTATAGACTTCCATCCATATCTTCTAATTTAGCTACCACCCTACTAAAAAACCTGTCAACAATCTTTAGTCTCTCTCTTTGCAAATGCCCCAAATTGTAAAGTGATCACATTTGCCGCTGGATGCTTCTCCAAGGTACCCAGAATTTTATATCCACAAATGCCACAGCAAGTGTGCACCATGCCTTGGTCAAATCAAATGAGCATCTCCTGCAGGAACACTTTTCCAACTGAGAACCTCTCCTCACATAACTGCCTAGCCTGAACTGCTCTGCAGCCATCAGTCCCCGTGACAATCTTTTACTGCCCATGGTAAATGCCAACTTTAATGTGCCATAATCCTTTGCACCTAAATCTTAAGTCTGGAAACACTATGAAACTTTTCAGCTTTCAGAACCACATTGTGTTTTGTATCTAATTCTACATTTGCCTTATTTTTCCTCCAGAGTAAGCTCTGGGTCATTTCATATCTCAATCTCTTTTGGAACTTTGTACATTGTGGGTGCTGGTATCAGTTTATTAAATGGCACGGAACCAGTGCATTCTTCAGGCAGTGATTTGGAAATGTGTACAAAGGGAAGTCAGCTATCCAACAACCCAACATGGATGAAAAGTATAAGTCACTAGAAGATCAACTTTCCCCCAAAGGAATAAAAACAAAGTGGGGAAACACTTGAATTTGACATTGGAATCATGAATTTACCAGCTTGACTTACAGATTGTTCACTGTTTGGATAAATAGAAGGCTGTTCACCCCTGGCATGGATCTGCATGCCTCTCTCCAGATAGTGAGTAGTGAGGAGCAAAAACCAAGAGATAAAGCTTCAAGGGCATGTTTGCAGTCATCCTTGGGACGTCATTCTTACCATGAGTGTAACTGATGAATGAGATTTAGTTTGGTGAGGTCCAAAGTTCTTTTTTGTGGTGCTAGGGATTAAATCTAGGACCTTGTGCATGCTGATCCTTGTGCAAGCACTCTACTGTTGAGTTATACCCCTAGCCAAGCTGTAATGCTCTTTTTTTTTTTAAATAAAGGAAGAGATGTGTGGTATAGGGAAAAAAAGGTCCAAAGCTAGGGTTCTGGAGACTTGGGCCCCAGGCCAACCCAATCTTCCCTGGCCTCAAAGTTTCATCTGTACAAGGAGAAAACTGGATTAGGTAGCTTAAGTATCTTTCAGTTCAAAACTCAGTTATTCTTAGATTGTCTTATTAGAAACAATGAAAGTGAGCATAAGAGCAACTTTAGGTTGACAGAGAGGGAGAGGTAAAGTGTGGACACATCAGGCTTTATGCTTCAGCTCATGATGATTCCCTGATGAGAGGTCCTGGGTGAGTTCTATAAACTGGTCTTGGTGACATTCACACACATCTGTGATCATCCTATCCCTCTGCGTGCTCGCACATCTAGGGTGAATCTTTAGCACTAATAAGCTCTTTGCAGATGTGTGGGCTTTTCACCAACATATCAAAGCCTGTAATGAAAATAATTTGGAGGCCTGGCTTGAGATCTTGTCTTCTTGCTACCTGTCTGACTACATGTCACACCGAGAGTGTTATTTTCCCACAAGAGTCTTATATGTCACGATTCCAGTGCTCCCCAACAGCTATCTGCACAGCCAGGTGTCAACACTTGTTCCAACGCTGTGACAGTCAAAGAACAGTGAAAACCTAGTCCCCAAATAGAGACATTTATGATAGTCCCATAACTCATGATATATCTGTGCAGTGGAACACTGTGCAACAGTTAAAAAGAAGAGGGTAGATTTTATAAGCCCCGATACTGAAGGATGTTCATTATACAGTGTTGCATAATAAAGCAAACTGCAGCAAAGTATGTTAAGTGCAATTGCATTTTGTTTGCTATTTACATATAGGATAAATACATATTCATATATAAATCTATATAGAAGTGCCTCAGAGAATAACTAGGAAATGATTAACAGTAAACACCTCAGAGAATGGATAAGGATCGGTTTCACTTTTCCCTTTGTGTTCTTTTGAATGATTTGCCAATTTTTTTGGCATTGAATGCAACTCACTAAGTAGTTTTAACAATAACAGTAAGACTGTTTTCAAAACTGGTATTCACAACTATCTAGTCAAAAGCATACATTGCATGTAGTTATAAACACCCCTTTCCTGGGTCCCACTACTTAAGTTGCTTAAAAGGTGGGACATCCCAAAGCAGATTTTGTGCTTCTGAGTTTCCTGGGGTTGTGAAGGGTGCTGACATTTTAAAAAACAATATAAGAAATTACAAGCACTGTTTTTAAAAAAGAGCTCCCTGCTCTTCAAAGAGGTAGCTGTGAAGCTACCTATACCCGTAAGTTAAATTTGAAGTAAGATCTTGCCTGAGTGTGTCTACTTAAGAATCCTTAGAAGTGTCTTATTAAGCGTGGATAGGGATAAAATAGTATGATCATCACTTTCCTTAACAAATCTGCCCCTATGCTTCTTTCTTAAGAATTAGCTAAACCAGCCTAAGAATTAGCTAAACCAGCCTATACTGTGGGACCAGAACTTACCAGAAAAATGAATTCAGATTGTGCTACTGGGAGAAGCTTTTAAAAATATGAAAGTAGTAGCATTGCATTTTTCCAGAGCAGCGATGAGCAGCATGTGTCATTTTTGCAGAATTCATAGGTAATGTTAGGAATGCATATGGGCAATCTGAAGACCCAGGTACCTTTCAGTTACAGTGAGGACCAATTAGATATAAAATATGTGGGCACACAAGAACAAACCACAGGTTGTTGTGCGACTTACAAAAAGCATCATCACAAGAAGGTGTCCCTTGAGTCCCTGTGTTCCCTGACTCCTTGCCACTCACAATGGGATCTGTGGACCAGCAGCATCAGCACCCCCATAACAAGGGAACTTCTTGAAAATGCAAAACTTCAGGCCCCACCCCAGACCTACTGAAAGAGGGTCCCCATCTTAACAAGATCCCCATGATTCCTGTCACACTGAAGTCTGAGAGGGACTCCCTAGTTCATTTTGAGCCATTCACTAATTGGGCAAGGACTGCACAAACCATACTGCTGGTGGGTAGAGGTTTGAAGCCCACAAGGTGAGTGTGCTCTAGACAGGGGCAGCCCCTGGAGTGCAGTGCCCCAAGCATTGCTGCTCCTTAGTCCTGGGCTCACAGGCTTCCTCCCGCCCACCCCACCACCCTGGCCCACTCCCTCCCAACAGGAAAGTACTGGATTGGGAGCCCAATTCCAAAGGGGCTGAAGGACGAAAAAGAGGAACAGAAAGGACCCCTCCCCCAGCTTGCACTTTCCTGTCTGCAGGCTGTGATGGGTGCACAACACAAAGAGGAGTGCTGAGGCAGTGTACTCAGGTGTGCGCCTGGGTGGCAGGGGTGCACCTGCGGGTCAGGTACTCAGGTAGGCACCTCAAGGTCAAGAGAAAGGGGCATGAGGGTTTGTGTGCAGCTCAGCAAGCATCTAGAGAGACGGAGATTCTCAGGTGTCAGACAAGTGGACAGGCAAACAGTAGGGGCACCAGAGAGCCAAATGTCGGACCGCCGGGCAGAGGGACGACAGAAACACGGACGTGGCCCAAGGCCTGACTCACAGCTGCGCGATGCCGGCCTTGCGCACCGCCGAGGAGATGGCTTTGACCGCGGTGCAGAGAGAGTTGAGCAGCTGGGTCAGCTCGCCAGTGCCGCGAGCCTTCCTGCCCTCCTCCATGACGAAGCGGGTCAGGGTGCTGATGTCTGTGTCGAAGGGCGCTTGGTCCGCCATGCTGGGCCGGGCTGCAGGTGCAGGGGACAGATGTGGACTGCAAGTGAGCGCCACAGGTGCAGGCAACAAGTGAGCGCGACAGGTGCAGGGCGGCCGGAGGACGCACACACTGTAGTGCGCAGAGCTTGCAGCGCTCCCGCCTGGCTGGCCGAGTCCCTGCGGGGTGCGTCCCGGGAGAGCCTATAGCGCCAGGTCCCCGGGCCCCGCCCCAGGAACACCCTCGCTCCGCCCGCTTTGATCTCCCGGAGAGGTCCGAGGTCCGGCATCCTGCCTGGGCCCTCCTTCCTTCACGCCAGGACCCACTCCCACCCCCACCCCCACCCCGAGCCACGCAGCCACTTAGTTTTTCCGCCACACCTCGGTTCAGGCAGGGGTCAGCCACTTGAGTTGTGGGGCCTGACTTCAAGCCTCCTGCACCTGCTTATTCAGCCTCCACGACAACCTGCCTGCCGGGGAAGGCATGATTCTCACCCCTCCTTAAAATATCAAACAGAAGTTCAGAAAGTTAAAGAACTTGCTCGGTGCTGCACAGCTAGACAGAGAAGCCAGGACTCATGTAGACGTACACTCGGCAGGCAGCCTTCTGTTCACCCTAACATCTGGCTCCACTGACTCAGGTTGGGACAAGTGGATTCCCCTGTCCCTTGCCTGCCTCAGAGGCCTCCTCTTCTCAAGAGTCCTAGAACTGAAAAGCAGCCAGGGTTGTAGTTTCAATATGTTTGCAGGGAATACAGTTGCAGGCACAAAGAAGAATCTGTACCTGGCAGGTGGTGTCGGGAGAGTGGAATAGGATGGCACTGGCAGAGTGCCCAGGTCAGAGTCCCACATGGACAACATACACATGGGAGAGAGCCCTGTCTGGCTCAGGGATTTATCTTTGTCACTCACTGCGGGAGCTCATTGCCTTCAGGCAAACCATTTCCAAGGGGGTAAACCATTCCACATGGTAGGGCACAGACTCTGGAGTGAGATGGCCTGGATCATCTCTGCCACTCTCTGGCTTTGTGAGCCTGCACACGTGGCAGGACCTCGCTCAACAAGTTTGCTCATCTGTGGACTGAGCTGATGCTTGTCCCTGTCTCACAGGGCTGCTGGGAGAGCAAAGTGATGAAGGTACAGTACTGTTTGAGGACAGCACCTTCCTGACATCTATGGGTAGGTGAACTGCGCGCTGAACAGAGGGAGGACGTTCTCTGGCCATCCAGAGGTGCTGAAGGGACAAAGGAATTGGCAACCTCAGCTGATACTTCCCTGGTACAATTATATCCTTTCCATTGTGTTGGCCAGCTGTAACCACCTTTGCTGGGTCAACTGCATAAATTTATGTGCATCAACAGGATGTTAACCAGAGCCAGAGGGAGGTTCAGGCCAGGGAGACAGGAGCCATCTGGCATAGGGTGCTTGAAAGTGGGATTTCTCCCTCCTGCTCCACTCACCCCATCACAGAGCTGCTTCTGCTATTGCAATGATCTCTTCCCTTCCATCACAGAACATAACTGCTTTGACACCATGTGGTAGATTCAAGTGGTACGGGAAATGTGTAAAAGCTCTATGTCCTGTGAAGAAACAGGATTGCCCAGTTTCCTTATCTGGCTCACACAGAGGAGGTTAGCTCAGGTTTGAGTCAGAGGCAGCAAATTGAGCAGGAACAGTCTGTAGGGTCACTCACCGCCCTTCCCACCACTATTGAACCCAGGGCATTGCTACTTTGCCCCCTGGAGAGTAATTAGTTTGTGCCATAGGGGAAAATACCAAGAGCTTCTCACGGGAGAGGGATTATAGCAGCATGGGCCCTCCACGAAGTCCCGTACTCCTCTGGCTTCAAGAGGCCTTAGCAGATAATGGAGATAGGTGATGTAATCACTGGAGAAACAGAAACTAACGGCCATACTGTCAAGCTAACATCTACTTAGCGCTTGCTAAGTGCTCCACACTAAGCCTGGCGCCCCTATTGGTGGCCTCTAATCAAACTTATCTTTATAAAAGAGGAAACTAAGGCTTTTCAAGGTCAAATAACTTGTCCAAGGCCTCTGGCCAGGCAGGAATTGGTAAAACCAAGACTCAAGCCCTGTTCTGGGTGATTCCAAACCCCATGTCCCCACTGATTTCTGTGTCCTGCTAGGTGGTAATTATGCCTCCATATCACACCTCCAGGGACAGGACAGGCTCGAGCCCACCTACTGCGGCTTTGAAAATCTGCTCTCCAAACTGTCCACTAGGGCTACTTATTGGGCCTTGTTCATTCACTCTTTCACTCAGCAAATAGTTCCTGGGCACCTGCTGTGTTCCAAAACCATATCATGTACTGAGATTGCCATGATGAGCAGGAGAGATACATTTCTGTCCATTTGAGCTTTGCATTCTTTGCGAGGGAAAATAGGAACCAAGGTCACGTAATTAACAAAGACACAAAACCATTTTGGGAAGCAAAGTGCTGTGAAGATTATAAAACAGGATAATGAGGTAGAAACTAATCAAGGAGGAAGGCCTTTCTTAGAAAATGACCTTTGTTCTAAGACATAACAACAAAAAGGAATGGAGCAAATGAAAAGCTTGCCAGAGAACGTATAGAAGAACCAGCAGAGTGTGGCAGGTGCAAAGGGCCCAAGGTTAATTCCAGGAACAACAAGAAAAGGCTGGTGCAACTAGAAGGGTGGGTAAGGAAAAAGCCATAGGAAGTAAGGCTGGAAAAGGAGGCAAGAGCTGGATTTTGAAATACCTAGCAGGTCATAACAAGATGCTTAAGTTCTGTATGTAGTATAATGAGAAGCCATTCTGGAGAGTGTCATGACTTAATCTAAATGGTGTGAGAACCAACTGTACAAGGTTAAGAGCAGAAGCCAGGAAACCCAGCTGAATGAGTTGTATCCAGCCCCTATTTAATTGCCTGTCAAATATATGAATATTGCTATCATATTGCTTATAAACCTTTACTTGTTTAACTACAGATTTTCAGTTCTTTCAACTATTCCTCACATGGCATCAATGCAATGTTTTCTCCGTCCTACTCTGGACCCACTTAGCTCTTGGTGTTCCTTCCAACACCATGCTGATTCTATTCTTCCTCTTCTTTACCCATCTGCTCCACCCCATCCTCCCATGGGCTATTCTCCTTTTTAAGAAAAGGCTTTATTTTCTTATCCCCTCAGGTCAGATCAGAGGGAGATGTTGCTTTTGTAATAAGGAGCTCAGCCCATTCTGCAGGGACATCTGAGGCTAAGCTACCACTGCCAAGCTGAGGTAGGAGGTAGAGCAAGGACAAAACAAAGCTGACAGAGAAAGAAACTAAGCAGAGTAAGGACAATTATATGAAAACATCAGGAACTCAACAGATAAAAGCTCATTCTGTCCCCCTTAATATTCCCAGGCATGTGCAAAACCAAAAGTACATGACCCTGGCCTGTGTTCACCCTCCAGCCTCATTTGCATTGTGGTTTTGACACCCACCCCAGTGGGCTTTGGACACCATGACATGTTGGCTGAAAATCTTGTGTGGTCAAGAACTCCCCCTCCCAATCGGTGGACTGAGTCAGGTACCCTGTTGGGCCATGACTCCTGTCAATTCCAACTGTGGATCTTCCTAAAATCCCAGGACCTGCCCCAGCAAGGCCATGAGCTCTTCTCTATGGCCTGATCGCATCCTGTGGAATGTACCCTCACTTCTTTCATCTTTAATAAATCTTACGCTTGTTACTTCTTGTGAGTGTCCAGTTCAATTCCTTGTTCAAGATACCAAGAACCTGGAAATAGCTTGCCTAGAACCCCCACCCCCATCTGATAACAGAGCTACCCAGAGTAGGGGCAAAGAGACCAGGATGCTATAACCCCTGTCACCAGCTATAGGCTGTCCTGGAAAGAGGCACGGCATGGGAGAGGGGGTGCTGTCCAATAGAGGCAATCCCAAAGAGGGCTGGCAGCTCAGCACTGCTTTTTCCCGGGAGCTGGGAGACAAGTTCTGTCCTCATTGAGGAACTGGGTGGTATCTCACAGCATCCATTATCATCATCAAGGAAAATGAGGCAGCTGGAAGAGAGACAGGGGCCTGTTTTCCATTCTCTTGGCTTTTCTTCCCTGTGTGTGTCATCGCACTCAGTCTCTTTCCTTGAAGTACTATATGGCACAGTCATTTCCAGAACTATGTTCCACCAGCTCAGTACTCCCCCTAGATTCCAGCAAAACTTCATGTTGAACTCTTACTAGACCGGACTGGTGACCAATCCTTGGCCAACAACTATCATAGGGATAATATGGTTCTTTCTAATTCATAAAAGGTGTAAATAATCACAAACATTATATATTAGCTTTCTGTCACTATAACAAAATACCTGAGACAATCAGCTTATAAAGAGAAAAGGTTTATTTTGGCTTACAATTTTAGAGGTTCCAGTCCATAATCAATTGGCTCTATTGCTCTGGGGCTGTGGCAAGGCAGTCTCTCACAGCAAGAGCATGAGGAGGAAAAACCTACTTACATAACAAGCCAGGGAGCAGAAAATAAAGAGGATTGGGCTGGAGTCCACACTAATCTTCTTTCATGCCCCCAGTGACCCTAAGACTTTCAATAAGGCCCTACTTCTCAAAGGTTTCACCACCTCTCAGTAGCAACATCCTGGAGACCAGGCCTTTAGCACAAGGGGCTGTTAGTAGTTTTGTACGCAGATTCAGTGGAACCTTGAATAAAGGCACAGTGCCTGGAAATAGTGTGGGCACAATGCACAGTTGCTGGTATGGCTAGTGATGTTAGGGTTGAGACAGGTACTGAGGATGGTAGCCTAGGTGGAGCACTCTGGAGCTGAGGGGAAGGTAAGAGCACAAGAAAGCTAAAGTGAGTTCAAAGGACAGTGAGTCCACCAGGTTGACAAGTGGAGAGTTTGAATCAGAGAGGAACAGTTACCATGCCTGGAGAGATGGGCTCAGACTGTGAGGAATTTAAACATTGGAGGAAGGAGTGTGGATGTTGTCCTACAGGTCACTGCTCCTTGAGCTGGGGTCTGCACAGCTTGTTCTGTGAGCATGAACTTGTACCTGTTGAGTTGGGAAAACTCTTCCATCCCCTGCCCTGAGCCAAAGTCCTGTGTAGGGAGATCTTGACCATTTCACTACAAGGATGAGTGCTCACCTGTGGCCCTGCCTCCATGCGGTATTTCATTTTGCGATTCTGTCAGAAAATGAGAGAACAATTAAGA